TTAAAACTACTATAATTGTTACCATCTAACAATTAAAATAACAACCCTGTGCATATATATATATATATATATATATATATATATATATATATATATATATATATATATATATATATATATATATATATATATATATATATATATATATATATATATATATATATATTATATATATATGCACAGGGTGTCTGCCGGATCACGGAAATCAGGAAAAACTCAGGGAATTTAGATTGCTGCAAAAATATCAGGGAACAATCGGGGTAAATGGGTTGATATGTTACTCATTTAATAGCTTTCATGTCTTATTTATTTATTTTTATTATATTTATAAACTTAAAAAGTACAACAATAAAAGTAATTGTTATACTTATCAGTGTGGAAACAGTGTCCAAAATGTCTATAGACATAGACTATAAACATTGATGTTTATAAAAAAAAACTGGCGGTGCAATTTTTAGGATAAATGTTTCTTTTTAATCATCAACAGCATATTAATTATGAAATTCATGTGAACAAAAAATTTATCAAAGAAATGTTTTTCTCTAAAAGTAACTTAGTAGAATTTTTTTAATTATATTATTACCTGATTTGCATGTTTCTTCAATGTTAAAATTGTTAGGGTGCATATCACATTTAGTTGGTTTGAGCTATGCACTGGAAATTTAATGTTCTAGTTACTTTTTATAAGTTTTTATAAGAAATTTAAAAAGACATTTTTCAACAAAGTATTAAGAGCAGAATTTTATTTACTCAAGTTTCATTTTTAAATTTTATTAAAATCAGGATATTTAAATTTTAGCTAACTTATACATTAATTTAATACTCACTTATGCAACTCAATACTTACTTATGTATGCAATCAATTCCGCTCCAATACTTGTAAAAATTTAGTATAATAAAAATGTGAAAGTTTTAATATTATACTACAAGCATTTTTGTTTTTCTTTAATTTTAATATGATTTTAATACAAGTGGTTTTTTCTTTATTTGATGTACTGCAAAGTCATTTGTTGATTTGTTGAGCCAAAAAAATAGGGTTATCTGTTGTGTTTTTTTTTAAGGTTTTTTTTACCAGTGTATTATTATTGTACCAAAAGTTAAAATATTAAGAAAGATTTTTGATTTTTCACTTAAGTACCTACTTAACTTATGTAAGCATGTTTTATTGAAAAGTATTATAAAAAGATCTAAGTTCTTTTTTTCTAGAATTGAATTTTTGGAACTTTTTGGGTTCTTTATGTTTCTTTATATTTTCATTTATGTTTCATTAATATTCTTTAATTACAAAGATGTTTAGATTTAAAAAAAATCCTAACACATTTATTAATACTTTTTTAATTTTCTTTAAACAAAAAGTGTAAAATTTGATTTAGGTCCCTTTTTTTGAATTTTCTTTAATAATTAAATTAAGCATGAAAACAGTTTTTTGAATTTTATTAAAAAATAACCTTAAACTTTTAACTTTTTTAAAAAAATAACCTTAAACTTTTAACATTTTAAAAAAAATAACCTTAAACTTTTAACTTTTTTTAAAAAATGACCCTAAACTTTTAACTTTTTTTAAAAAAATAACCTTAAACTTTTAACATTTTAAAAAAAATAACCTTAAACTTTTAACTTTTTTTAAAAAATGACCCTAAACTTTTAACTTTTTTTAAAAAAATAACCTTAAACTTTTAACTTTTTTAAAAAAATAACCTTAAACTTTTAACATTTTAAAAAAAATAACCTTAAACTTTTAACTTTTTTAAAAAAATAACCTTTAACTTTAACTAATTTACCTTTACAAGAAATTTTAGTTGTTTTTAATGAGCCGTTTCATGCGGTTGTTATTTTTAATTTCTTTAGACTAAAACAAATAAATGTATAATTTTAATTATTGTTTTAGTCAGTTCTTGTTTCTTTAGATTAAAATGAATAAGTAAATTAATTAATGAAGTGAACATACTTTTACCAACTTTTGAAAGATTCATTAAAGCTGATGTTTTAGATCAATCTAAAATTTTATAAATTAAATAATTTATAAAATTTTAATAGTTTATAAACTATAAATTCTTATTTCAGTTACAGTATATATTTACTGCAGTCATTAATATTGAGATTTGTAGAAAATCTCCTATAAAATATGCCATTGTTCAAAATGTAAAGTGCTTTGACCCACAAATTGTGTTAAATAAAAAATTGACCAAAGAAAGAATAAAGGGTTTGGTAAATAATTTTATTGATTGTGTTTACCCTAGCTGGTGATGACATAAATACAGAATTCAAGCATAAATAAAAGAATTCAAGCTGTACTTGGCTTATCTCCAAAACTTGAAAAGATTGTCTTCAAAAAAAGGGAACTTTTTCTAAAATTCAACAAAATAGATGATAGATTAGATTATAGTTTTTCTTTTCAAAAGTTGGAAGTTTACATGATTAACTTGCATTAATCAAGATGGTGTTAATTCTTTTACATGGTCAAGAGGAAGTTAAAAGAGAATTCAACACCAACTAGAACACGTTAGAACCTAATCTAATGATTAAGGAACTACCAGAACCTGTTAAAAAAGCATGCAGTCGACAAAAGATTGAATTAGCAGATTAAAAAGAAAATAAAGCAATGGATTTTTGTTCTTTAAAATATAAGTTGATTTGAGCTTGAAATTCTTGTTTATAATTTAGTTTCTTTTGTTCACAATTTTTTTTATCAAAGTATCTAATGAAAATTATAAAAAAAAGTTTATAGAGTAAATAAGAATAAAGCATTCTTTTAAATATTCTTTAAATATTAACAAGAATATAATAAATGTTACAATAGGACTTTATTTTAAAGCATATGGTTATACATTGGTAGAAACATTTTGCGCTTATGTTATGATAGAGATACCTATGTTATTAACATGTTCAGGTAGTTAGTCCTAATAAGCTACGGATGATCTGGAAAATAAATTATATTTGAAACTTACTTTAGAAAAATCTTCATCAGCCCGTTATGCTACTCCAAAAGGTGCTGCATGAAGACAAAGAAAGAAAAAAAAAATGCCCGCATTTGCTATAAATATATACAGTAAAACTGAAAATACTTAAAATATATATTACGCTTATGGGAAAATATGAACCCTCCGAAACGACACTGATGACAGCGCAGTAAACCACTGAGTTATCGAAGATAGGCTTTTAGGATAAAACAAACCATTTTACAAATATCTTATAAGCTCTCAGACGATATTTTATAAACATTTTTAATGATAGGGGTATTAAACTGTTTTTGTTAAAAGTTAAATGAAAATCTATTAATAAAAAGAAATTTATTTTATTTCCTATTCTGCGACATCGTTTTTTTTATTATAACGCAAATATAAAAAGCTAATTTAAAACAAATTATAATAAAAAATCTTTTTAAAAGGCTAGAAAATAAACAATAAAAAACCCCCCTAAAACTATGCAAATTCCATTATTTTTTTATTACATCAAAGTAAAGCCGCAGGAATATATATGTTACGGTAGATTATAAAATGCATTAGTGCAAAAACCAAATTTTTATCGTTTGACTTCCCAAAGTTCAACAAGAAAGAAATGCTACAGAATCATGTAAAAATTTATTGAAAGTGTTTGATGAAGGTACAGTTTCTGATAGGACATGCAGAAGATGGTACGAAAAATTTGAAACAGGTGATTTCGACCTTTCTGATAAGCCACGTTCTGGGCAACCATCTTTGATCGACGACGATGTTGTTAAGGTAATGTTGGAGCAAGATCCTTTTTTGACAACATCGAAGATCGTAGAAAGGCTTAATTCAGCTCAGCAAACCATTTCTGACCATATTCGGAAGATGGGATTAGTGTGGAAGTATTCAAGATGGGTGCCACATGAATTAAGTCAGAAAAATTTGGACGATCGAGTTGTCATATGCATATCTCTGCTTGCTCGGAACAAAATCTGGATAATTTAAAGACAGCAGTCCAAAAAATAGGCCGGCAATGTTCAATAAAAAGGACATCATACTGCACCACGATAACGCCAGACCACACGCTGCTTTAGGGACTTGTCAAAAAATTGCAGAATTAGGCTGGGAAATTCTGTCACACCCACCATATTCTCCGGACATAGCACCCCCTGATTATTACTTGTTTTTGTCCTTACAAAATTTTTTGACGGGCAAAAAATTCAAAAATGAAGAAGATGTCAAACAAGTACTGGTTAAATTTTTCGCATTAAAAGATGAAACATTTTTCAGAAATGGGATGTACAAATTGCCCTCACGCTGGCAAGAGGTCATTAAAAATAATGGCAGTTATATTATTCAATAAAGTTAATTGGTAGTAAGAAAAATTTGTATTTTGTTTGATTCCAAAAACGGACAGAACTTTCCGGTAGACCTAATATATACAAGGAAAAAGTATAGAAAAGGTCGGTGTGGAGTAACAAAGACATTTTTACGGTTCCGATCAGTTAGTTTTTACGGTTCCGATCAGTTAGTTTTTATTTACGGTTCCGATCAGTTAGTTTTTTACGGTTCCGATCAGTTAGTTTTTAGTAATTTTTGCTCAATAATTGACAACTAAATTTTGATATATTATAATGTAATATGATCGTAAATAAAAATTAATAAAATTAGACAGATTTTTTTTTTTTTAGGTTTTTTATAAATATTTGCTATGTTTTAATGTGCCCCTGGCTTGTATTAATGTACCCCGTGATAAGGGCAGTTTGATTCAAATTATATATTTTTTTATTAAATTGATCCTAAAACTTTATCTAACAAATCTTAGAGGTAATTTGTTTTAAATCAAATTACTTAGATGAACAACGATTTTTAATAGTTTTATTATTACTATTACGTAATTGCTATGATTTTTTTTTCACTCTAAAGTAAAAATGTACCACTATACCCCAACACCGCCTACAAATTAAGGTGCATAGTTATTTTCAATAACGATCTCTATAAACATAGATACATCTCTACAGGTTTAACACACACCATAACTCTGATACAAAAAAAAAATACAATTTGAAATTCTTGAATTAAGAAAAATTTTAAGGTTCTGCAATTAAATCAGTTAAACAGAAACTACAAAAGATAAGTAAATAACTTTTTTTAAAATCTCAAGTAAAAAAAGCATTAAATACAATTATATTGACAGTTCAACAATAAATACATAAAAAAAGTTATAACACTAAAAGAATATCGTGATTAGTTTCCAATCGTACCCAATATACAGCGGTTAATAATTAAATACATTTTTATATGGTTAACAAAGTTGAAAATATTTACTAGACTGTTTCAAACAAAAAAAAGTCCTAATGTGTTGTACTTTTTATGCCCTTAAATTTTAAAACCAATTCATGTAGTGTAAATTTCTAGATGAATGAAAAAAAAAAAAAGTTTATTTTTAGATGAACTCACAACTTCAAATAACTATTAATTTCTGAATTACTAGACATTCATTTGTTGTATTTCAGCTAACAAACGATCGAGATCATTCTTCACACGATTGTACATATCTTTCTCAACTTTTAATTGATCTAAAATTTAATTGAAGAAAATCTTTTTTTGTAGTTTATCAAATTTATTAAAAAGTATATTAATAAATTTTATTATAAAATGAACTAAAAAGAATAAAAGGAAAAACTAATTATTATGGTTGTTTTTTTTAATTTAGTAGCACACTTAAAAATTAAAGTTAAACACAAACTATTACTATATGGTCATACAAAAATGCTGATCTGGCAAATTGACGGTTTGTTATAAATGAGAATAAAAAAAAACTTTAAATATTATCTAAAATAAAAAAACAAAAACTTTTATTTGGAAATTATTTAAGGTTTAAACTTTTTTATTAAATGTTCACAAAAATTATTTTCAAATTACTCTATAAATACAGTATAATTATTAAAATTGTAATTATTACATTAATAATGCAATTGTTATAACTGTGACTGTTGTCACAGTTATAACAAAAAAAGTGCCAAAAGTGTCTCAAAAAATATCTCAGAAAAATTTAATTAACATTAAATTTTTCTGAGATATTTGTGTTTTAAAAAAAAGATTGTAAAAGAAATACCTTCTAACTTTGCTAAAGTTGTTTCAAGAGTTTTCACTTGAGCTTCATATTTCTGTGCTTTGAGTTCAGCCTAAAAATTATAAACAGTATACATAAACTATGATTTTCTTTTTAATAAATAGATTAAAAAATAATAATCCAGTTATTTAAACAACTTAATTATTATTTTTCAAAAAAAAATGATAACTTACATATAAAACTAAAAATATTTAAAAGATTAAGGTCAAACTTACATCGTTATATTTATACGTAAGATCATTAAGTCGTGTTGAAAACTTATCTTCTCTTTCAGATGCTTGAGTCTCATTAACCTCCATTGTGCGCAGAGTATTTCCTACATCAATTACTTCACGCTCAAGCTCTTTGACTTTTCTAAAACATTTAGGCAGAGACATTAATGTAATTTTTCATTTTATTTATTATTGCAAATTTATTTATCCTATTTCAATATCAAAATTGATGCTTTAATTTTAAGTTGATGCTAAAGTTACATTCTGGCTAGAAACTAAAGTTAGTTTCTGACTGGTATCTAAAGTTACTTTCTGGCTAGCAGCTAAAGCTAGTACCTGATTGGCAGCTAATGTTGGTATCTGACATTTTTTCAATAACAACCTATTATAAATTTAAAATATTTTAAAATGAAAAAATTTATTAACATTATTGTTATTTTTAAAACTGCTTTTTATTGCTCCAATACTAATATTTTCACAGATAAAGTTATGTTAATATTTAAAGACAGGCATATTAATATAACATTAAACTGCTCTTCAATGAGTGACAAGCTAAACCTGAATTTTTAAGCCAAAGTATTTGTTCAAACTTTTTTTTTTAAAAACCCTTAAAAAATATATGTAGATCAAAAATCACAACTAACAAGATATATAAGATAATAATGGAGACAATTTAAAAGACAATAAGATATTTAAAGATAATAATGGAGATAATTTAAAAAATAAGATAATAAAAGATGACAATTTTGTCATATTAACTCTGGTTCTTCAACTCTTTCTCTTTTAGACAAGGCCCAAAAATGAATTGTTATTATAGTTGAACCTGCTCTATCTGCTAAGCTCTCCCAATGAAGTAAAGTCACATTTCTTTTCTCTTTTCTACAAATACTATCATGGTCACTGCTCAAAAAAGCTATCATCTTTAGTTCCATCACTAATCAAAAACTCATTCTCGCTTGTTTTTTCATTCATCAAAGTTACATCCTTTTACTGTATTTGTTCCTTCATGCTCTAAAAACTTTTATTCGTCTAGTTTTTTTCCCATCAATGCTTCTTCATGGAGTTTTTTCCTCACACATCAATCCATCTTCATGGAGTTCTATTGCTAGGATTTTTTTTTCATTTTTTATTTAATTTTGTCTATTAACATTTTTTAAACTAGAAACACATAACTTCTTGAAATTACAGTAAAAATTTTAATTTTGTAAAAAAATATGGAAATAACTGCTTTATGTCCCTAAATACGAATTAAAAAAAAAAAGTTACTGAAAAGTACGATAGTATATTTCTCCCCTGGCTCTAGAATTTACACATTTAAGAAATGCATTAATTTTCTCTAAATGGTTTTCCATAATTAGCCCTTGGAATTAGGGTCAGCATTTGGCAATGCCAATCTAACTGCCAACCTAGAAGTGTTTTAGGTCAGCAAAAAAATTGCCGACCTCATTTCTATGTTTTATGGTTAAATAAAGAAACGAGGTCAGCAATTGTTTTATGTATTAAATTTTTTTTGCAACCTGATGCAAATCTCTTACAGATTAAATATTGCTGACCCCTTTTTTTTCTAGTTCTGAGGGCTGCATAATAGAAATTTTGTAATTATTAAAAAGTGTAATGATTAAAAAATTTAAAAAAAAAAGGTTTTTCAAATTCATGCGTTAGTAACTAGTTCAAAGTTTAACAACGACAACAGTTAAATACTGACAGTTATGCTATAAAACTGCATGTTTCAAATAATACAAAGTTATTTTTATGGATATAAATTTAAACTTTCTTGCTCTATAAAACAATATTAACATTTACATTAACTAATGAAAATGAAAAAAATAACAAATATACTTTTCAGCTGCAGTACATCTATTGTCTTCTTCATCCATTTTTTTCTCTAATTCTTTTATCTCTTTTGCAATCTGAAAAATAAGTGCAACAATTTTATTTATATTAATATATATTATAAAAATGTATAATGTAATAGTAATAATAGAAATAACAGCAACAACAACAATAAAAATAAATTTTATGAAAAAATACAATGCAATAATAATAATAATTTAATTGTAACTATTGCTTTTAAGTGTTAATGTAAAATGTGTTTCAAGTTTTTTATTAAGACAATCTAAAACAAAATGAAACCTTAGAGTTTAGTGATAAAAAGATATTTTACTTTGTTTTAGATAAACAAGTCAACCTTACTATGTTTATAACAGTAGATAAAAAAGTCAGCCTTATTATGTTTATAAACAGCATTCTGACAGCAAGTTAAGTCAAGAATAGACAAAATGCCATACTGCATTTTTAGAAAAAAAGAAAAATAATGCAAAAGGCAGAAAACATTTGACAAGCCTTCCATCTTTAACCAATAAGCTAACATAAATTTCAACTTGTTTTATATTGATTCCTGCTTAGGATGATGAAAAGTGGATCTTCTTCTCTACTAATGGGCTTTTGCTTGTGCCTTCTTTGTAGTGTCTTTGGAACTTTTCTGCTATTTTCTAATGAGGTTATACCTTTTCTAAACTCAAGAGAGAAAATTTCAGAGTATTACCAGTGCTATGTTGTGCAGGAATAGCCTTCCTGTTAGTAATTTGTTGAAGCCACATAAACAGCCCTTTGTTACAACTTTTTAGACAAATAAGATTAGACAAATGATCACCTACATTACATAGACTACCTACCAAAATTTTAGCACTAATACCAAATGGGTTTTTAGAGATATCATTACTTTAAAATCAGCTTTTTTTGGTGTTTATTTTAGTTAAAAGGTTTTCTCCATTTGAAATACAGTATATACAGTCATGGTCATAAATATGAGAACGATGATAAATTTTCTATTGTTTCATGATTCTTCATCATGTAAAGACAATTAGATAATAATTACAGTTGTTAGATAATAATTGTTAGATAATAGTTAGATAATAGTTGTTAGATAATAATTACAGTTATTTTCAAACCTTATAATGTACTTTCAAACCTTTTAACGCAGGGTCATGTTTTCTGATGAATCAACGTTTTCCCAGTTTGCCTCTTACACTAGGCATGTTAGAAGACCAGTCAATCAGCGCTACAATAACAGATATATGTAGTCCCTACTGTAAAACAGGCTCCAACTACGATTGTTTGGGGCTGCTTTAGTGGAGCAGGCTGGGGCGGTATCTGGGTTATGCCAAACACCACCATTAATGGAGCAGTGTATCTCAATATCCTTAAAGAAAAGCTGCCATAGCATATGGCTAGTAGCAACTGCACCACTTTCCAGCATGATGGAGCTCCCTACCACTGCACTGGAGCAGTTAGCCAGTGGCTAATGGGTCAACACATCGATGTCTTAGGACCTTGGCCTGGCTTCAGCCTGGACCTTAATCCAATAGAAAATTTATGGATGATGATAAAGCGGAAAGTTGCTACGAAGAATCCTAGTTCCGAAAACACCCTTAAGAAAGCGATCATGACTGTTTGGACTCAAGAAATAACACTAGAACATTGCCAAAAATTAGTTGATTCAATGCCTGAGAAGATAAGGGCTGTGATAGCCAACAAAGGGCAGCCCAACAAATATTGACTTTTGAGACAATCACGCCTTTAAGATGCTTTTTTACTAATAATTTAATCATATTTTATAGTTGAAGCACAAACTAATTGTTATTGGTGTTAACTGCTTGTTATATTCAGGTTCTAAAAGCCATACTATAAAAAAATGCAGCGTTCTCATATTTATGGCCATGACTGTACAACTCTGTGTTTTATATTTATTTAAAGTTGAGTAAAAAATTAAAAAATAAAATGAACAAGATTTTGTGTACAGTTGATATTGGATCAAACAAGTCATAAAATGATGTACACTAAATCAACAGGATTGAAAGATATATTAAGCTATTTAAAAAGATATAGAAACTTATTATTATGGAGATATTGGCTATCAATAATAAATACTGTTAAAATCTGTTTACATCATGAGCAAATCTAACTTAACTGGTTTACTTACTCCCAAATAATTGCATTGACCCATTTAAAAGGCATAAAACTAATATAAAAGGTAATTTGCTGTTAAAATATTATGTTGCTTCTTTTTACAAAGAATAACAGTTTTTTAAATTTTAATTTTTTTTATCTATTCCTAAAATATATTATTTGCTAAATTTTTTAAATCCATTTTTTTAATATTTTGTAAATGGATTTAAAAAATTTAATCTTTTGCCAGTTAAATGTCAATTTCTTGCATTTTGCAAGAAATTGACATTTAACTGGCAAAAGACATGTGTTCACTGCTTTGCAATTTAAAGGAACTATTTGTTGAATTCAAACTAGAACATCCTCAATCCAAAATATAATTTTGTTAAAATGGTGTATTTATGGTCATCAAAAAGAAGTTTATAATGTATGTACAATATACCAAAGCCTAAAGTTTATGCTTATCACAGTTAAACTGTAGAAAAATTTCCATGAACTTAATTAAAACATTGTAGCAGAGAGTCAAGGGAGTACATGGTTTTTAGATATAATCGCTTCCTTAATAAAGTGCTTAGATATAATCGTTCCCCTAAGAATTCAAAAAAATTATCAAATATATAACTGCAAACCTATTGCAAAATGAAGAATCATTTGAAGAAATTAACAAAGTTGATAAAGATCAAACAATTAAATACATACAGTGGAGTACAACAGATAAAGCAGAGCTTTTAAGTTACACATTTAGAGTAGACGAATTGAATGAAAGTCTTTGTAAAAAGCTTAATAACATTCCACTGTTATATTGCCTTAGAACAAGATAAATATTTGAAATTTTCTTGTTTTATATTTGATGACTTTGTGCATAATATTGGATTTATTCATTGTATTGTAAAAAAACTGTCAAATTTGTACAAGAAATACTTCCCAATAACACAAAATCTATTATTTTTCTGTTGTGCTAACCAGTACAAAAATTGCAAACATTTTAAAAATTTATGCCTTTATGCTGAAGTTTTGGGATACAATGCAAATGGGACTTTTTTGCAACATCACATGTGATGGATTGGTGGGACAGTTAAAAGGCTTGTTTCCAGTGCTAGTTTTTAACACCCAATCGACCTAGAAATTCTAAATGATGAAGAAATGTTCAATTTTTCTAATAATAACATATTTGGCATCTTCTTATTTTTAAAAGATGAAAATATTTTTTCAGTCCGTAAACCTTTGACTCTCTAATTAAATAATGCATAGACTATACAAGGTGCAAGAAGTTTCCATCAATTTATTCTGCAGGATGCAACAAGCATGAATGTCAAAAGAATGTCTTAGCAAGAGGAACATAATCAGAAATATTATAATTGAAAATTTGGTATGTTTAACTGGGTTGCTTTGGCATCAGAAGTTGATAAAGAAAATGAAAATGTCTTTGTAAAATTAATACATCTTTATTTACCTAACACTTTGTTACACGTGTTAAGTAGAGATGATTGTTGTTAGGTTCCTAAACCTCATTTCCTACTTATGATACATATACCTGACAAAAACAGATGACTCAAAATCTAATCTTTAAATGAACTCAGTCATAGCAGTTCACAGATTTTCTTTCATTAGCAATTTATGAATAAATCAGACATAAGTGGCTTCTGGTTTCTAAAACCAATTTCTTATTTAAAACTTGTATTTATTTAACTTTTTAGACTATCAAATATTTTACATGTGCAATGAATTTTTCACTTAAACTATCGATAATAGATTTTTTTTTATAATGGAAATTTTCAAAATATGTAACTTCTAACATACAATTGTATTTTTTCATTATAATTGTTTGATTATTTATGAAAATCCTCTAAAAACCCACCTCTCATCTTAACACAAAACACTATCTATTTTGAAAAAAGCAATAAAAATTAATGCTACCATGGCTATTACTTAATATAGATTATTTATTATAATTTTCAAAATAGACTATTTTTTTTTTTTTTTTTTCGAGTTTTCATGCTATTTTTTTCTATACAATGTTCTATATCCAAAGATATTGTTGGCTTAGCATAGGAACAGCCACAAATAGTCATTAAGACTAATCCAAAGTAGTGTCAGTTATTGACCAACATTTTTGCGTATCGAAGTACTACTCAAGCGCTGAGTTGGCAGTGGCGAGATTTGAACCCGTATCGTTCAACAGTCCGGGTTTTAACTATAGGTTTTAACTATAGGTGAAGTACAATCCCCATATTGATATATTTTCAATTTTTTTTTTGTAGAAAACAAATATTGTATTTTAATTCCTTGTCTACAAAAATATACTGGTGCTATTTTTCAGCTTGATCACTGTGTAGTTAAACAGTAATTTTTTAAATAAAAACTATAGTAAAACCAAGATGGCCGCCAAACAAAAAAATTGCCAAAAATAGTTGATTTTGAAGTAAAAATATCTCAAGAAACTATTTGTTATCAGTAATAGAATTTTGCAAGGTAATCTATGTGACATAGATAAGCATTTTTACAAAGTATGAAGATAATCTCAGATGTTGGGTTACATGCCTGTGTTACTTTCTCATGAAATATATCAGGACTGAGGCAACTATCCAGCTTATTGTTTAAGGTGTCATAATGTTAGTCATAATGTTATTAAATTCTTTAATAACATAAAACATAACTATAGTACCTAAAAAAAAAACAACTAAATAATTACCAATTTCTTTTACAAATTATTCTGGCCTTTAAAGTAACTTTTCATTTATTGAACCTCTTGCAAAATTCATCAGAGCCACTCACTCTTTGCAAAGTTGCTAATTTCATCTTTAGAAAATAACTTTTAATTTATTGAACCTTACCTCTTGCAAAATTCACTAGACCCACTTTTTCATGGTCTGAACATCTTTCCTGTCTCAAAAAAGTTTTTCTAATGATGCCTGATAGATTTCTATTTAAGACATGGTCCAAAAATGTAAATGTAGAGCTTTTACCCAAAATATTTACATATTGGCCATGGTTCTTTGTATATATTGATAATTTGCATGTTTTGCAAAATGTACTGAAAAAACCAAACTAATTTAAAGAGAAAATTAAAAATAAACAAACCATAAACTGAAAAGAAACTAACTTAATAAACTATAACATAAACAAAGTATAAACCAGAGAAAATAAAAGCATAAAACTAATATAAATTAAAAGGATCTCAATTATTAATTCAAACTTAATTAATTTAAAAGCATTCCAATTAATAGTTTAAAGCTAATAATTTCTCCTATATCGCCACATTGGTGTTGCCCATAAATCAATTAATTGTGTCATTTATGAGACGTGACTGATATATCAGCATTGGCCCAGGGTTCTCACCTTAGGCCAATGCTGATATATCAGAAATTTTATTTTAATGTTTTATTTGTTTTTTCGATATAAGAAAATATAAAGTTTTAAATTTATAAATAATGTGATTAAGCTTGGATTAAATTTTGATTTTTTTGAATTCTTTGTAGTGAAACACTTTTAAATTAAAATAAAAACTTTTATGCTTTTATTTTTTCTGGTTAATTTTTTATTCATTTTATCTTTTTTTGGTTAAGAATTTTTTTTTTTAATTTAGTTTTGTATTTATTTTGTTGTTCTCTTTCCAGTTTATAGTTTGCATATAGCAAGCCTGAGAAGGCTTGCTATATGTGTTATAACATAAATATATATGCATATATTATAAATTCATATATAGTATAAATTTTTTATTATTATTTCTTTAATTTGTAATTGTGGCTTTGCAACTAATAAAGATTTTTTATTTTTATAAAGTTAGTAACAAATAAAAAAATATAAATATTGCAAAAATAAAAATTCTAGTTAATTACACTACCAGCGATAGTGAAAGCAAATATTATTTTAAGTTTCCAAGTATCATTTACAAAAAAAATTATATCTTTGTGCTTTTACTTGCTTTATTTGGAAAATGTTTTTTCATAAGTAATAATGTAAAATAAAATTAATATTAGCTAAATATATATTTATATATTTTAATGTTGTTATTTTATATTTTACTACTAAATAGAAACTTAATTAATAATAAGTAATTTTTTTTTTTTTGCTATGATAAATTATCTGAATAAATATTCTTGGGTTTGCAAAATGATAAATAAATGTTTTTTGTTATAAATAAAAATCAATCATTAACAACAAATTTTTTACTTGGTATACAAAAGAAATTTGTCATTAAAGATAAACAAATTTGTTTTATGTTATTAAATATTTCAATAGAAAGGTTAGCTTAAGAAAAGTTAGGTCTTCTTTATTTTTTATTTTACCTAAATTATTATGCAGCTGATTTTCAAAATGCCTTCAGATAAAAAGAATCAAAGTTGAATTTTTTTACAAAAACAAGCTATTTTAGATGCCTACAAACTTTATTGAATAAATATTTTTAAAGAATTATGATAAAATTTATAAAAATTATTAGTAAAAAGCATCTATAGGCATTTGAAAAACACCTGCAATATTTCATTTGTAAATAGCGCTTATATTCAATGTAATTGTCATTCAAACTTTTGTTACTATCTTTTTTTTCACAAATCATTCAAATGTTTAAATGGTTTTTATAAAATTTATTGCTTCTTTTATCCTACTTTTTAAATGATATCTTTAGACTAATTCAAAAAGTAATAAAAAATGGCAATTTGGAATGAAATAATTAGTAACACAACAAATGGGTAATTGATTGGTGCATTGATTTTACAGTTAATACAAGTATTAAACAGATATGAGATAATTATGGGATTGAAAAAATTGGCAGTGAAAAACTTAAATTCTGCAAATCTTTAATTAAGTTGTCATCGGCTCCCATTGCAAGCTTGGAATGGGAAAACAAGCCCATTATAAAAAGCTGAATAACTCAGTATAAGGAACCTGATTAACATTGTGAGGTTTTTAACAAAAAAATAAATGAATGGATCAAAAAAGATCATTAGATAAACTCATCAAATAAGACAATGATATTAAGAAGAAAGCTAAAGACATACTATCACTAATGTGCCTTATTCAAGATAATAAAAAGAAGATAAGACCTGTGCTAGAACATCATAAACTTGACATGTTTGTAAAAGCCTACATAAGAGATGCAGATGCCATAAATGATGGAATGAAGGATTAGAGATTCATTAATAAAAATAACATTGACTAAGCTAAACCTCAGATAAGCATATCTGCAAATCCATGTTTACGTCATTGGATTAGCTAAACTATCACCTGAAAAAAACAGCAATATACAATTACATGTTAGAGCTTTAGCCTGAATCTAGCACCATTAATGATCTCAGTTCATTACTACAACTTGTTCTTCAATGAAATTCTACAATTGCAAAATCAATACAATGATACATTCATGACACCTTAGCAACCATTTGAATCTGACATTGCTATCACCTATGAAAAAATGGGTCTTCAGAATCACTATGAATTGGAAGGCACAAAAAATCCATTAACAAAGAAAATATAATAGAAAAAAGAATGATATATTTTAATTATGCAGTAACCAGTTGCTAACCTGCCTGTTGCTAATTAACCAGTTGCTGGATGACTGAGACTTGCATGCAGCTATATAAAAAGATGTGCAAATGAAATAAGTTGAGATAAACCTTTCATAAGTAGTATGTTATTGAAATCATGCAGGAAATTGTAGATAAAGTCTTATAATGTAATTTAAAAAAGTTGCATGGAATGTCAGAAATACATCTTTAATTATATGGTGTGATGCATGCTTGCTTGCAAAAGGAGTTTTAATAATGCAAGGTGCCCAAAAATAGAACTTGCTCAACAATTCTAGTTGCTTTATCCAGATGTTTTTTATCGTGATCAACGAGGACTGTTATAAGTTTATTTTCTGCAATATAACTCTAAATAATGTCTGACATAATGATTGCATTGAAATGAAATTTAAGTAATGTCATTATTAAAATTGATTCTCTAACTTGTAAAAAACATGTAAAATGTGTTGGGCGATGTAAAACATTAATTCAAAAAAGACTGCTAATATTTTGTAAACTAATTGAGGAACATGTCATAGATGTAAATGCCATATGGGTACATACTACCAAAAATATTGCAGATAAACTCACAAGAGTACCAAAAAAATGAATAAAAAAGCTGTAATGCAAAAATGTAATACCTTTTTTAAGTGTGATACTTTACGAATTTAAGTGAGAAAAAGTTAAAGCCTGTTTGACTAACTTGCTATTAAAGAAGAGTACTTCCTGACCAGAAGTATCATGATTGTGTATGACCTCTTGTTAAATTTACTAATTGTTGAAAAGAGTCACAAATTATATTTTAAAGTGTGCATATATATATATATATACATATATATATATATATATATATATATATATATATATATATATATATATATAGGTACGCGGAAATCCGTGTTTTACGGAACCGAATTTTGTACTAAAATTTTGTGCTAGGTTTTTTAAACTTTTTTTTAGGTAACGTCAGGCGAACGTTTTTTTGTGGCGTTTCTGTTTAGAAACATTACTAAACTTAGATTATTTTTGAAAAAAAGAATAGTTAAACTTGATTAATATATAACATTTATGTGTGGTTGGTAATTTTTGTATTGCTTTTATTTGTATTAAAAACTTGGTTGTTGTTCTCACATTAAATTATTGTCAAAGAAATGCTCAGATAGTTTGCAAACCTACCCAGATAGTTTTTTACATATATTTTTTATCTACCTACCAAATTTCATTGAAAAATATTATTGAGCAGATAGTCTATAAAAGTGAGCAGTTTTGGTACCTCATTTCTGTTTTTCTGATTTCCGTAAGTGGGTGGTAAGAGGGGTACAAACAAGTTGAATTTTATTTGGTTAGTTTAGTAATTATTTATGTTATATGTATAATATATATATATATATATATATATATATATATATATATATATATATATATATATATATATATATATATATATACATGTATATATATATATAATATATATATATATATATATATATATATATATATATATATATATATATATATATATATATATATATATAGATATATATAAGTTTTTTTTTTAAATAAAATAAATTAGTAAAAATTTACAAACTAATATTAAATAATGTAAAAAATCTAATAAATTACTGCAAAAAAAAAAAATATATATATATATATATATTTCATATATAATAATATATATATATATATATATATATATATATATATATATATATATATATAATTATATATAAATATATATATATATAATAATAATAATAATAATAATAATAATAATAATATATATATATATATATATATATATATATATATATATATATATATATATATATATATATATATATATATATATATATATTAATACAATTAGATATAGATGTTTTTTTATTTTTTTTATTTTTTCAGTAGTTTATTAGATTTTTTATATTAATTAATATTAGTTTGTATATTTTTACTAGTTTATTTTATTTTAAAAGTGAAAATTACTATTTATTTTAGTGTGACTTGTTTATAGTTTCTAAAATTTTATTGGTTTCATTGAAATTGAAAACATAAGCGTTGATTACTATAATTCTAGCTATAGGTATGATGGTATTTTAAAAACTCTTTATATTATCACATGTTTTATGATGTCAGTATACATTGGCATTTTTGTCTGTGTGTATAAATAGTATTTTTTAATTACGCAATAATACAGTATTATTATAAATGTTTTTAATAATAAAAGTATAATATTGTTTATAATTTAATGTTATATCATTATTCGGTAGTTATTCAAGACTTTCTTTACATTTTTTTTTTGTAAATAAAGTTGCTTTTTGTGCCCCGGCAATAGGCACAATAAGCAACTTTAATTTTTGTTCTTAGTACAGTTAAAGAGTATTTAAATACACACTTCTTTTTATCTGCCAAAACTTGCAGTTGTTGTAAAAATAGATATGTATCTTTTTTATTCATTAACAGTGTCAAGTCATTTGTTATAACTATTATTTAGTTTAAACATTTGTAAACCACATTTCTTTAGGGTTTTGAAAAGATGCAAAAGTTGGTTTTGCAACTTTACAAGGGATAGTTGTCGTTTTAAGGAATTTTGTAATGAACCCTGTATATGCATTGCACAAATCTTGCCCATCTTTCTATCATCATGTCCCTCCAAGTAGTTCTCTTACTACTGTTTTAAGTAGTTTAGATAATTCACCACTTGAGCACATAAGTAATTTATCACCACTAAATCACAAGCCTTTATTTTCCAAACATTCTGTTAACAATTAAAAGGCATGAATCAAGAGGAGAAATAAGCCCTAGAAAAAAAAGGTTTGAATACCAGATTGTCCTATTTAACTTCTCAGCTTGCTGTTACATTCAGCAAGTATTGAAATAAATTAGTAATAGTGACGGCAAAATTAAAAAGCATGGCATACAAATTGAAAGTACTGAGACAAAAATTACATAAAAGAAACAAATTGTTAAAGTTTTAAGAGCTGAACTTAGAGATCTTAAACAAAATTTGCAAACATATTATTACAGTAAGATAATATGCAATCTTAAAGCTTAAAAAAAAGCAATGAAAATTTCAGAACTTTAAAAGCTAAAATAAGTTAAAGTTGTACATAATATTAAGGCAAATAAAATGATTATAGCTAGTTACGAATATTTGCTTGCATATATGTAAAGCAGTTGATCATCTAACTTTTATTTAGATTTTCATTTAGCATCTTTTAATGATAGTGATCAATCAATCATCTCAAATATATCAAACGCAATGTCAGCCAAAGTTGCAATTAACCATCTTACCATAAGCAAACTGTGTGACATTTAAGGGGAAGGTTTGAATGAGCTAAACTGCCATTTACACGCTCTTGATATAATTGCTACCTCATGGCTGGGTATGATTGTATGGCATTTAAAATAGTTTTGGCTATGAACAAGTTGAGGTTTAAACATGGCAAAGGTGATTCAAAAAGATTCGTTAGTTTTTAGATGATCAAAAACTACCACAAGGTATCATTCCAAGGTATTGAGGAAATCGTCTTCATATTTATTTTCATACTTGTTTTATTTTTATAAAACATTTAATGAGTTTGAGCATTTTTTAACCATTGGAACAGTAATATGCATAACTATACAAAAAGTTCTTAGAGCAGTATTTTGTAACAAAACAGCTCTAAAGCAAAAATGTGTGCTTGCATTATTTGGAAAACCACCTCCTCAAAGTCACATAAAACTTTGTCATCCAGTTTCCAGCCTGGATGACAAAATTGTGTGTGACTGTTGAGGAGGCAAATTTTGACCATTATAGTGGAATCCTGGTATTAAAAAATATTTTACTAAAAGTTGCAGATTCTAAATCAAATCCAGGTTCACTTTTTAAAATGACCTTGAACCAAATATTTTAGATCCAATAAAAAATGTTTTGTTTGATTGATTAATATGACTTGTATTATTAATATGACTTTTGCTTGTCTTATTGCAGTAGGAGACGTCATAACTCATCAATGTAAGAGATATTTCTCACTTTCTATTAACCAGACTCTCAAGGAGGAAGTAGCATGTGCAAGGCAGCACAATATAAATAGTGAAGAGTTAACGGGAATGTTTAGTGAGGCTGAAGAAAGATCACCTAATGCAACAGTTTGTTATGTTTCATATAAATTAAATTACCTAGAAAGTTTAGATCAATTATCTAGAGAAAATATAGTTATGTGGTCGATTCAGAAATCCATAAAAATGTAGTTATGTGGTCGATTCAGAAACCCATAAAAATGTAGTTATGTGGTCGATTCAGAAACCCATAAAAATGTAGCTATGTGGTCGATTCAGAAACCCATAAAAATATAGTTATGTGGTCTATTCAGAAACCCATAAAAATATAGTTATGTGGTCTATTCAGAAACCCATAAAAATATAGTTATGTGATCTATTCAGAAACCCATAAAAAGAGATGATAAATCAAATGAAGCATAATGATATATGAGCAGATATTTCAAAAAAACATGTATGCAAATGCCAAAAAATGGATGAAAAAGACAAAAAAAAGTTAAAATAACAGTTGCTTGAACTCTTTTACAATGAAATAAAGTGTTTAAATACATTGTCTATCAAACAACGTCATGACTAAGATAATGTAATGTCAGATAGAATTGTTGGGCAAAAACTTTGCCATGAATGGTACAATAGTAAGTATTCGAAGTATGTCATGTATGATAGTAGAGAAGAAAAACTTGATAAAACAAAACAAGACAAAGTTTGCACAATTTCTTACTGGAATTAAGGTAAAACTGATACTGAAGCTGTTGACTACAACATGAAAAAATATCAGCTTCCGCTGATGTTGGACTAGGAGAGTTGATTTTTTTTTGAAGTGTAATATGTAACAACTTATGATATTACTTGAAATGAAGCTTTAAAAATAGATACTGCAAGTGATAAAACTTACAAAACAGATACGGCATATGATGAAACTTGTATAAAGGTATTGTAAGTAATATAACTTGAAGAAGTAGTCATATCAAGTCATTTATGCCTGGTATTAAACCATATGTTTTTGTTTTACTTTTTTTTATAAATGTTTTTAGAGAAGAATAAAAGTATTTGACTTGGAATGACTTTTGCACAAGTGTTGTGACTTGCAAAATATTTTAATAGGCAGCTCTGGCTTATCTTCACGTGGTGTCTATTGTTACAAATGATTATTATAGTGTTCCATTTATGAAATTGATTATTTTAATTATTTACTAAAAGCTAAGACAACTATTTAAACTTAGGATATCTAAAATGTTTTAATACAGAACAATATAAAATTGATTGTTACATTTTTTTATAGGATACAACACTGATATATTTGGTAATAAAATAAAATATATTTAATGAAATATCAAAAAATGAAATATACTAATTTATTTTGTTTGTTAAAGATACAATTATTTTTAAGAATTCAACATCTTTTTATTGTAGGTTGTGGGTAACCATTACCACCCTATTTAACAAACTTCTCAACTTAACCAAAATTTACGAATAGCAGCGGAAAGACTTTTTTTTCAAAAGTAGGCTCAGTTGTGGTCTTTATCTTTAGCTTGTAGGTTATACTTGGTGCAAAAAGCCTAATTCAGGTTTTAAATTGTTAACTTATTTTAAAATAATTATAATTGTTATTATAAAGATTTATTTATTTTACTTATTTATTTTTTTAGGTTGGGGGGGGGGGGGCACACGCCCCTCCCACAAGTCAATAAGCACACCACCAATAAATGAATTTCTTGTAGCAAAAAAAATTTTTATGTTTTTTATACTGTATACTAGTTTCACTTATTTTATTAAATGTAGAAATATTTATTTATTTATAATTAGAGAATTAAATATTTTTGAAATTAGGGTGTGTTAAACCATCACCACCATATCCACCACCAACTTTAATAAACATCAATCATTGATGGTCTGGAATAAAATCATAGCAATTTTTTGTATAAAAAAAATAATCGTTAGTTGAAAAAAAACACTTTTTATTGAAAGAAATATGCTTATTTTTAGGGTAAAGGTGGTGGTTCGGCACCCCCTCTAGCCCCCAGGAAACGCCTAATAGGTGGACGATGTTATAAATTTGTAGCCCACAGTTACACCTATCTTTTGATACTAAGTTATAGGTATTTAGACAAGAATTGACAAAGTTATAACAATTTAAGTAAAGAAAAATTAAATTTTGACCACAGTTTCTTCAACAAATCCATATATCAAAAATTTGCGACTAAAAACGTCATAACTTTTTGTACAATAGTCCGATTTTAATAATTTTTTCACCTTTGAAATACTGTATTGAAGCACTTTCTAATGATATATAACAATCTAACCTTTGATCAATTTAAAATTTTCAATCCACATACCTAATATATATATATTATATATATATATATATATATATATATATATATATATATATATATATATATATATATATATATATATATATATGTATATATATATATATATATATATATATATATATATATATATATATATATATATATATATATATATATAGCAATTTATTTTTGTAACAGTAAGAAAATTAAAGTGATAATTAAAGTAACAGTACTGTGCATAAATTAGGAAATTCAATATATTGTACAGTTTAAAGAAGATTAACTTTGGAATTAACCTAATATTTTTATTTTTTTCAATGTCATTAAAAACATTACTTGTTCATAACGATTTTCAACATCAGAGTTTTTTGACATAACATCGTCAAGTTCCGATTGTAGTTTAGATAACTTTTCATCATCTGTTTGACCTCGACTTTCAAGAACACGCCTTGCCCTCTCACTTTCTTCAGCTTGTTTTTCAGCTTCATGTAAGCGCTTAATCAGCGTATTGAGTTTGCTTTCTGAGCTTTCAAGTTCATCATCTAAATTATTAAGTTCTTTTTGCAGACGATCAACTTCTTCTTCAGACTATAACAAATAAAATAAATCTGTGTTTATAAAAACATTGGAAGTATATATTTTATACATATGCAGGGGTCTTTGTGTGTGTGAGTGTGTGTGTGTGTGTGTGTGTGTGTGTGTGTGTGTGTGTGTGTGTGTGTATGTGTGTGTGTGTGTGTGTGTGTGTACAATTTAAATTAATAGATAAGTAATCATAAGCAATAAAATCATATTGTACATTTTCTTTTTTTTATGTATTTTTTACAAGCATAAAAAGACAATTTTCAGTCGTAGTAACCTCGGTTGCTTTTTTACTCGAGAAATTTAATTCTTCTTCTGATTTCCTAGAACGTTCTTCAGCAGCTTCAAGCTTTTCTTTTAAAACTGACATTTTTTTCTTGATAGAGTCCATTTCAAAAAAAATGTTTTGCTTTTAAATTATTTAATTTGTTGTTTCAATGTTTTGAAAAAAGCACAACACCAAAAAAAAATTTATGCTTTGCGCGAGATTAGAGGAATGTTATTAATGAAAAGTGTTTTTTTTTTATTTATTCTGAATAATCTTTTTATAGCGTAAGATTAGATTTAATCATGACGACCAACCTAGTTCAATAAATACAAACTCGGAAGACTAAACCCGTACATGAGATTATATTTCAATAGCAACTTTCCACTTTTTCATTCAATATCATCAATAAGGTTTTTATGCTTAGCATACTCTATGTTTTTGTAAAAAGTCACAAAAAACAATTTATTAACATTTATTGTCTTGAACATATTATTCTGAAATCCAAGCTTTAACTATAAAAAAGTTAATTTATTTCAAATCATGATATATAACTTTTTTTCACAATCACTTTTGAACGATAAGCATACTACTACTTAACACTGGCAAACGTGTTTTAAAAATTAGCATAATAAATACGTGTATTAACGATCTTAAACTGCAATTATTCTAAAAACATTTTTTAATTTCAATTTCCGAATAGCGTTACGTCTTTATTTTTAAACGCTAGTTTCTGATAAGTTGTAATTACCTAAACTAATTGTTTTTAAAACATTGAATTTCATTTTGAAACGCTGTAAAAAATTATTTTATGTTATCTTATAATTGGAATTATTAACTATATCACTATAATTATTATATATAGAAGTTAAATAAAATGTAATTATTTAACTATTTTCATATTACAAAAAACTAAATTAAACAATAATTAAATAATTATAAAAATTTATTTTTTAAACTTAGATAAAATTTTAAGATTTTATTTCAAACCTAGATTAGTTAAATATAAATCACTAGTATTTTAAACAATTATTTGTTCATTTTAAAATAATTTTATATATCAATGTTTTGTTTTTTAAATATAAACTTAAAAAATTATCTATTTAGTTTATAAATATAATAACTAAGGAAATAAAATAATGCAAATTAAAAAAAAAAAAAATTATTTTAAAATGATATTTTTTACTTCCTGGGAATTAACTAATAATTTACTTTTTATATAAACACTTTTTAGTTTATACGATGACAATACCTTATACAAAGTAAATATATATCTGGGGAAATTATCTTAACATGAGCAGTCGTTTAATATTCATACTTACTTTGCGTGCTTTTTCAAGAGTTATTTTTAATAATTTTTCGTGCTTTTCTGCCTCTTGTACGCTTATTTTTAGTCGGTTTTCTAGATCAGATATTTTATTTTGAACTGCGCTATTAATTTGTCCAGTTTTGTTTGATTTTTCCATGGTTTTAAAATTTAAATATTGGTTTTCTTGCTTTCTTTAAACAATTTTTTTTTTACCAGATACCGAAATTATTACATATAAAGTATAGCATTAATATGAATACATAGAAATGCTGATAAACAGACCTAAAGCAAAATAAGATTGAGCTGTTAAATATTAACGAACGGCATAGAGTTAAATGAATAACAAAACGCCATGTTTTAAGTTTTGAACTTACTGAATAGGAGAAGTATGCAATAATTATTTTGAATCAAACCGAATTTGAAAACATTTTATAAGATGCGCTATAACTTTTTTTTTTTTTTTAATTTATCAAATTTTTAAATACATTTTGATATTATGCCCATGAGCAAGATTTTAAGTGTTTAAGCTGTTATGTTCATGTTGCAGGGTAAAAAAAAATATACTTTATTCTACGAACCATGGTAAAACATAATACCACTTAAGTCTCACAAAAAGGATGAGATGGAAGGGAGATATTTATTCTTATAAAATAGTTATAAAATCAGTTTTACTTTTTGCCATCTCATGCATCAATTTTACAGTATGAAATGGAGTCTGTCTTTTACACCCAGTTTGCAATTTTACTCGCAAAATATTTCAATTCAATCTGACAGAATATTTGTGTATTTTACAATTGTACAATCTCATACAGTTTACCATCGTATCATATAAGAATGTCCATATTTTGGAAATGTGACTTCAATGAAAATTCCAGCGTTCTGGAAAAGTTCAATGATGTCAAACATCTTATTATTAATATAATAATAAACAAAAATCCAGAAAACGAATTAATTTACACCTTTTGTTTTGGGCAAAGCATAATTTCCAAAATAGCTCTTCAGATAAAATCATTTATAAAAAAGTTATATCATTAAAGTAAATTGATCTTTTTCTAACTTTTCTAATGATAATTTCATTATAACAATACAAAAAAAACCTCGCTCATTGAAAGCACGTGAACATTAAATGAATATAATGGTAATTTACTTCTTTTGTAAATGGTATTAGTTGATTAATTATGTAAATTTAAATTTTTTTGGAAATCTAAGACTTGAATAATTTTTCTTTTTGTGATATAAACACTGTATTTTGTTTTCAGGAATAAAATCTTTTTGCATTTTTGTGGTTTTGTTCTTGCTGTATTTCTGATTTTTTTTTTTAACTTTTGTTCTTTATTAAAATTTAAAAAAGCATTCTGTTTTTAAGATATAAAATATAATAAAAATGTACATAACTGTCATAAAGGAAATAAAAAAACGCGGGGACTCCAAGAAGACCGTAAGGTCTTGTCGTCGAGAACCGCTAACAGGTTTACATGTTAAAATTTCATAATAATAAAATAATCACAAAAAAAAATTAGAAATTTATAATAAGAAATTTTCTTTAAGAGTAATATTTGTTATATTATTGAGTATTTGTTATAATTGAGAATTAAAAACATAAACAAAGTTAAAAAAAAAAAAGACTTCTTTATAAATATGTGGATGCAACCTTGAATTCTATTGGTGTACGTAGCGAAAAATTAGCTCAGAACGTTGAAGTAATTTTTACCAACCCTGCCTATTATATACGTCAATATAATAGGCTAATTGATTAAGTTCATCACAACAAACCAGTAAAAAAAACATTTTAAAATATACAAGTTGAATATGTTCTATGTGTCTGCCGTTCTTTGAACCTGGTTAGTGTTGCAGCAGTTGAGTCTTGCGTGGCAGCTGTTTCTTACTTTGGCTCTCTTTAACTGCTAGATAGCAAGATAACTTTTTTTCAGTTTTAACGCGTCGCTTGGAAGTCTTGTTATCAAAACTGAAAAAAGATGCAAAGGTTCCAAAATCTGCATGTGAAGATGCGAATTCTTCTCTTCAAACGGTTGTTTTTTTTAGTTACAAGGTATAATTATCAGAATCAGTTTTTTTCAAGTTCTTAGTTGCTAATTGTACTTATATATTTGCAAATTTGAAATATGAGTATAAACTTCAAAGCGGTCTTAAAATAACTGTACGATGACAAAACGCAACACCCGAACACGATTGTAGAAGCTAGTATACCAGATTCTAAAATCGTGTTCGGGTGTTGCGTTTTGTCATCGTACAGTTATTTTAAGACCGCTTTGAAGTTTATACGCATATAATATGCATATGTAATACGCATATAATATATGCATATGTAATACGCATATAATATATAATATGCATATGTAATACGCATATAATATGCATATGTAATACGCATATCTTATGCTTCAATAAATGTCAACCCGTCATGTTGGCGTTTATGAGACTGAGAAGTCTCATAAACGCTAACATTCATTCATTTTACTGAGAAGTCTATAGACTTCTCAGTAAAATGGATCAGCTGAAGACGGCCGTCAAGTCTCTGGAGCATAAACGCCAACATGACGGGTTGACATTTATTGAGGCATAAGACCTTACTGGATAAGAGAAAATGAATACTGGGGTTAATATCATCATGAATCAACTTTTAGCTCAGCTTCAAAGGCAAAAAAAAGCTTATGCTTTATTTATCTCTTGTTACGGAATTTTTGTCCATCTTTCAGATGTGGATTCAATTGTAATACAAAATCTACACAAACAATCAGAACATTTAATTTCCAAATGAATGTCTTCATTTCAAGAGCTTTGTTTTTACTTCAGTTGATATTGGTACCGTTGACCAAAGAAACTTGTATCTCCATTCCCTAATGTCAATGTTGTTCTAAGGATGTTTTTTTCTGCTGAAGTTACAAATTGTATAAATAGAAAGCAAAGATTTTCGAATGTTTATTCTTTGGATTACCTTGTTATAATTAACACATTTTTATATTATTTTTTGGTCTTGTACAGAAATTTATTATATGTACAGAAAACCTAAAAAGAACAAAAATTAAACATTGTATCTCAGACTTATACAAAAGCATTGAAGAATGTTGGAAAATTAGTTCAGTTTGTATAAGTTTACAGTAAAAGTTGAAAACTAGTCCTACCTTACCTTAGTAACCTACCTTAGTAACCTACCTTAGTATTCAAAAAACACTAATAAGCAGTTCCCAAAAGTTTCTAAAAGTTCAAATGATTTGTTGTTATAAAATATAAATATAAATTTTGGTAACAGTAAATAAAGCTTTGTGGGAACTTGTATTTCACATCATAGCATGACAAATTCTTGATAACATAGTGATATCATAAAATGAGTTTATAAATCAAAACTTACTATTTGGACATTACAAGAGAAAAACTTAACTTTTACTGTGCTTTATAAATAGTATATGAAATTCTGCTATAAATTAAGTTTATCTCTCAAAGTTATGATATCACTATGATATCATAATGATATCATTATACGATATCATAGCTTGAGAAGGTTTTGATATCATTTGGATATTACATTGATATTGCGTCTTGACTGGGGACCCAACCGGTCACGAGATCAGAATAAAATAAATACTTTGGTACTTATAACTATATTTAGTTAGAGAGCCTACATACTCAGAGAGCGGACATACGTGTGATCGTTTTTGATTGGTTGTTCGATTTTTATGATTTTAGACGCCATCTTTTTGCCAAAAATACTAACTGCGATTAAAGTCTACTACTAAATTTGTATTAAATATTTGTAAAAGTATGCCTGGTTGTGCTGCAGTAGGCTGCCATAACAGGCCTGAGAAAGGATTTATTATGAAATACTTCCCAAGAAATGAAAAACAACGGGCGATTTGGACTTCTAAAGTTAAACGACTTAACTGGGTACCTACAAACACAAGCTTTTTATGTGAAGTAAGCATAAGAAAATACAGTTTTATGTAATTAATCCTAGAAATGAGTTATTTTAGAATCCATACAAATACATTATATTCTTTCAATTTTTTTATTAAGGTACACTTTGATGCTGATCAATTGGAAAAAAACATAAGATGGATCAAGAAAACTCAAACATAATGCAATTCCTACTGTCTTTAAACATGTTAGAGCAAAACATAAGCGAAAAAATCCACTCGAGCGTTTTCCAATACCAAAAAAAAAAGAAAATAAGTTGTATAGAAAGAGGAGAAATTGTGGAAAATATTTTAATTGAAGTAAATAACAATGAACTATCTGAAGTTTGCACAACTGAGGTTGATAAAAATTTACTTATACAAGATTTAAATGCGAAATTGGAGAGATTAGAAAAAAAAGTCATTAATCAAAAAAAAAAAATAACATTTTAAAATCGAAAGCAAGAATAAATACTATTCAAAAATATAATCATATAAAGAGAGATAAATTTAGAGTTTTGAAAACAATATTTAAAGAAGATCAAATTTTATCCTTAAGTAGAAAAAATATGAAGTTCATTAAATGGTCAAATGATACTATAAATGAAGCGTTAGAACTCAAATTTACATGTGGTCAAAGTGGTTTTAAAACTTTACTTCGTTTAAACTTACCATACCCATCATTACGTACCCTACGACGAAGATTAGAAAATCTAAAATTTCAAAGTGGCATTCTAACAGAAGTCTTTGAGTTTATGAAAACTATGGCGAATGCCATGAAAATCCATGAAAAAGAATGTGTTTTAATTCTTGATGAAATGTCAATAACTGAAAGTGTTGACTATGACACATCTACAAGCTCTTACTATGGAGTTGTTACATTACCTGAACATTATGGCCAAGCTAACCATGCTTTAGTTTTTATGCTTGGAGGAATATCTACAAGATGGAAACAAACTGTTGCATATTAATATAGTGGAAGTTGCATATTATTATAGTGGAAGTTCTGTTTTAAAAAACATTGTCCTATCTATAATAAAGTATACTGAAGAAATAGGATTAAAAGTTAATAGTGTTACTTCTGATATGGGTGCCATTAACCAGGCAATGTGGAAATGTTTTAATATTTTTTAGCTGTACTAAAAGTGGCAGTATTTCTAGTTCAATTTAACACCCATGTGACCCTACTCGTACAGTTGATTTTTTAGCAGACGTACCACATTTATTAAAGAATATAAGAACATCTCTTTTATGTAACAAACATTTTATAATAACAGCTAAGATTCAAGAAAAATATAAAGTTCAATCGCCAATTATAGATTCAAAACACCTTAACAAGCTTGTAGACT